CCTAAGTCATAGTTTGCTTTAGGAGACACTCCTCTCCTACATACACCGACTGCTACAAGAGAACAATGCTGAAACTTTACACAGAATAAATGACAGATCTGAGTACTCTAAGTACTCTAAAACACCCCGGGTGGTGCAGTAATTTATTGATATATTGGCATTTCCAGTGCCTTACATTCCTTTAAACTGTTTAAAATCTCACACGATATGAGAAGCAATATTATAACATGAACAATATATTTTGCTTTTTATTTAAAGAGAACAACCTCAAATCATTCTATTTGTTACTCTGCTCAAGATAATGTCTCCAACGAACAGCTCTCATTGTGTGCATTTTGCAGAGCTCAACATAATGTTGAGTAAAAGTCATGATTTATTCATACTGGTTAAAGGAGGCATGTACATGATTGTAAGTGCTTAAACTAAGACCTTTTTAATGGCGTTGTTCTGTCCCTGAAGTCTCATCATCACGGTGAACATGTTCTTCTGACGGACAACAAACTCACCGGAAGAACTTTTACTCCTTGGCATTTTCCACATCAGCTCTGAGACATTTCTACTTCACACACACACACACACAAACACACACACATATAATCAGGAAGAAACACGTGTATGGAGAGTAATATTTAGTAATTACAGAATAGAAATTAAGGTCTAATAATAAATCTTTATCTAATTTTATGTAAGTCTGGTTAGAGTGTTCAGAGGAAGATTATCATTGCTCATTTATTTATATTTTGCTTCCAAAGAGTCAGATTTTTGTGTATTATTGAGCAATTCAGGATTTCTGAATGTTGTCACACTTTTTTTTTTCTTGACTGGCTGCACTTTCGACGCAATCGACAAAATCTTTTCAACAAAGTGACAGGGTCCTGGAGAGCCCTCATGTTCCGCTGAGAATCTCAGGAGGACGCCAAAGACATATACAATCAAATTTATGATAACAGGTTTCCTGCTTTTAGGAATCGTCTGGTTCCTGGTCTATCAGCATACAAGAAAACAGCTGCAGCTTATCTGGCCTGGTCAGGCTGCCTGCTTGTGAAGGTTTGGTTCATGATCTGAGGACTCAAAATCAGCTGATTTACGAGCTAAACCTTAAGATGGAAGTGATTTGTGAGAATCGCAGGCCACATGCGGCTTTGGGACTCGCCAGCATGAAACAACCTTGGAGGGGCTCATAAGCACGGACCAGTAGAATGCACCCTAGTCTGGTCATTTCAGATCTTGAAAGTACCAGTAAGACTCGAGGCTGACAAGAAAACATAGTCTGCTTGAAATAAAATCAGCAATTGTGGCTTATCTGAATCCGACTCCCACGGTTGGCCTCGGAAACAGGACGACATCAATTTCTCCTGGGAAATGTGTCAACTAAAGGAAAGTTTTTTCTATCGCAACCCCCCCCCCCCCCCAAAAAAAAAATAAAAAAAATAAAATAAAACATCTGTGGAGGCTTATCAGAACTGTGCCGGCTGACCATCATCTTATCAGGACAATGGACTATCTGTTAGTGCTTCATGGACCGCCTCGTCGTCAAAAGCATATGTAACGTGTTCATAAATGTGCTGCTGGCAGAGTTTTTTAATGTCTTAAACTGTGTCCTGATAGGACAAGGTGTGAAGAAATACTTTTTGTAATGCCACTATCCTCTCCTCGTGGCTTTATCCCTTTTTCAATTTAAAAAAGTATTCTCAAAAGGACACGAGGCCGCGCTATCACAGCAGCAGCTACGTGAACTTCGCCCATCTTTCGGACGACTGTGAGGACATATTCTCATTGTGTCTCGGTACAATGATAATGAAGCTTATTCTGATTCTGATTAAGACTTTCACTACTTTTCCACCCAGTACCTGACCCTTTGTTTAATCTTGTTTGTTTGTCTAGTACCCCGCCTAACATGGACTTTTTGAATAAATCAAAAATTAAGTCAAGAGATGAACCAATGTTGTGTCAACACATAACATATAAAAATCAATTGGAGCCCCAATCAGTTTGCTTTGCATCTCTGGCACTCATGAATACGTACAGGTGTCTTTCACTGTCGCCATCAGCATGTTGGCAGGTACGATCCTTGGATCTCTCGTATACTGGCTCTGCCCTTAGCTGGATCCTCCCTTCCCCACTTAAGTGCAAGTGGTCATGCATTTGTCTACTTCTCTCTGATTTTATGAACAACCTTCAAATTAAAACTGGAAGATACAAGGATTTCCTCCCAGGCTCTGATCGAGGTGGCAGCTTCTGTTTCTCCTCTCCCGTTTTTTTCTTTCTCCCTGCTCTGTTCTCTGTCCGTCTGAAGCGCCTGGGTCTCATCTCCCGAACATAAATTAAGAAGATTATGGATTTGGTATTGTGGGCGTTCAACTCTATTGATAAGATTTTTTCATCAAAGCGACAAGGTCCTGGGGAACCGGCATGTCCAGCTGAGACTAACACTGTGGGGTACGTCATGGATTCGTGGGGAGTGTGGCAATCGATGTGCATTACAGTCCTGTCTCAGGAGGATGTTGAAGACGTTTACATATTTGGATTTATGATAGCAGGGACTCTGCTTTTTGGCATTGGCGGGGCTCTGTTTTATCGACTTTTGAAGAAGACATCGGCAGCAGTTTTGGCCATGGAAAAGCCTCCGAGTCAGTGTGAAGGTCTGGTCCTCACTGTGGGAACTTTAAATCGTCTGGTCTACCAGCTTAACCGTAAGGTGGAGGCGATTGAGAATCGCAGACCACCTGCGGCTTCTGGGACTCGTCAGCATGGTGGGTTCGACCTTGAAAGAGACTCATAGCATGGATCAGTGGAAAGGAATCCCACAATTAGACATTTTCGGAACCAGAACGCCCAGATGGACTCAAGGCTGAAGAAAAAAATCTGTCTGCCTGAAGAAAAACAAAAATCAAGCTTATCTGAATCAGACTCCCAATGGCCTCGGAGACAGGCTGACTATCAAATTTCTCCTGGGACATGAGTACCCAAGGACAAAAGCTTCACCCCCACCCCCCCTTATTTTTTTAAGTAAATGTTCAAATAAAAAAATGTTCAAAGATTCAAAGATTTGACGAGGTCACTAAAGAAGCTGGCTCCTTAGAGGTGTTGAAAACTTTGCGCATCCCATCCATGTTGTTGTGACAGTTTGAAACCCAAGCAGTGTTGAAGCTGTCATCCATCGTTGGATACGTACGAACTGACACAAGAATTAATTCACACCTGCCAGACAACAGCAGCCTTTATTAAAATGAATCCACTACAATGCCTGTAGCCCACAGTCCAGACAAAACAAAAACATGTCCACGGCTAACTTTAACATATTAACAGGATGTGACGTGATTTATACTCCTACAAAAAAAAATGTGTGAAAGCAAAAAGAAAATCAGTTCTCTGATCACATTTGTTTATCATGATTATTGTTTAAAACAGTGGTGTCCAAAGTGTGGCCCGGGGGCTATTTGCGGCCCTTGGAGCGATTGAGTGCGGCCCACAACTGCAACTTTAAACTACTTTAATTTTGGCCTGCGAGCTTAAGAGGTTGATGCAGATGTAGATCTTCTGCACACTGAACAATTTGGATCTAAAGCAGTTTAGAACTCCTTCTCTACCATAATGAGTAAACTTCTGTCCTTTCTCCAAAATAGTGTTCACGCTGATGTTGAAAGTTTCTGCGAGTACTTTTTTCTTGACAGTTTCAGCCCACTAAGCATGCAGGCAGGCAGAATGGTCAAGAATCTGCACAAAATAAGGTTTGGAATCATCTTTTTTATTTATGAACTCACCTGAATTAGGATTTTTGGCCATCACAAAAATACTGTATAATATAGCACATTTTAATGACTGAACAAAAACAACCCCGTAAGGAAACTAGGATCAGTTCTTTGCTTTTAAAACAGAAAATGGTTTAATTTATCATCTTTCTTACTTAAAAGGAGCGAGTGACATGTGCTCCAGTTAGAAAACTGCTGTGACACACCAACTTTGTGACCAAAACAAAAATGCTGTTTAAAAAAAAAGAAAAGATTGTCTCACCAGTAATTCTACTTTACAAATAAATTAATGCACTTATAAAGATATTTAAAGCAATAACAATTATTTAACCATAAACTGAGCCCGCCGTGTGTCACTAACATTAGCTGCATCTTTAATGAGCACCCACAAAAACTGACTCCAATTCTTTTTCACAAAGTCCAAAACATTTACTGCAAACTGATGAAGACTAAGCTGCAAAAAACTGAGGCTCTGTTTGAAGGTCATGAACAATTAATATCTTACCTGCTGTAGATAGCTCTTGGGAAAATAGAGTTTTAGGTAAAGAGTTGACTGTGTGGACCCAAGACCAAAACGAGTTGCTGTCGTCTTCATCAGTCACAATTAGTGGCAGCAGCAACTGGCTGTAGCACGTCTAGTGCAATCTGGAGATAATTCCTGCTGGATTAATATCATATTTCTGCTGAACGACAGTGAAATGCAAATCTAAATGTGGTTTACACCAAAAACAGCATAGATATACTGATCATGGCTCCAGCTGGATAGTTCGACAACCTGGTGAGAGTTAAACATTTTCTCCAAACTGATTCGGTTTAAAGAAATATCTGCAACAGGACAGGTCAGATATAAATTGTTCATAACCTTTTAGTTTGTTCAACAGAACCCAATTTAAAATACCTGTCTCTAAACCATATCTGACTACAAGAAGAGACCAGAGCAGCACATAAAGCTTGCAGGAACATCAGTTCAGAGACATTTACATCGTCAGCAAACAGACAACAGCTGGAGAAACCGCAGATTGAAAATGTAAGACCTAGAACCAGACCCCTTTCATTTATTTATTTTTTTTTCACATTTGGCTTTAGCAGATTTCAAACACTACTGTATATATTTTTTTCTTTTACATGTATGAATGCCTAATAAACTGGAGAACAAACTGATTGACACGTAGAAACAAAATGGACTGATGTTATATCAGCATTCTGCAACATTCGTCCAAACTTTGGTTCATCAGAGCGAAGGGATGGTCAGTGCGGCTGCTCCTGCAGCAGCTCGAAGGCGAGCTGTGTGATGTGACGCCATGCTTGCTGGATGTGACGGGACTCAGTGGTGCGGGAACAGATGGCAAAGCGCAGGACGAAGCGACCAGACAGCTGGCAGGGAACCAGGTGGATTTCCTTGCTCTTTGTGATCTTTTTCAGTAAGTTCTGGTTGAGCTCATTGGAGCCCTGTGAGGAGGCAGGAAGACGACCAAGACCATGTTCAGAAATATACATACATACTGTACATACACACACAGACATACATATTTATATTTATACACATACAGGCACATGCGCCTGCAGTCAGCATGCCAACTGCATGCTCCCTCAAAAATTGTCACATCTGTGTCAATGTGCTGTGAGATAAAACTGCACGTTTTAGAGTGGCCTTTTATTGTGGTCAGCCTAAGGCACACCTGCGTAATAACCATGCAGTCTAACCAGCATCTTGATATGCCACACCTGTGAGGTGGATGATTATCTCGACAAAGGAGAAGTTCTCTCTAACACAGATTTACACAAATCTGTGAATATTTAAGGAAAAAAGGTCTGTTGTGTACAGAGGAAAAAGTCTTAGATCTTTCAGTTCAGTTCACGAAATTTGGGAGCAAAAACAAAAGCGTTGCATTTATATTTTTGTTCAGTGTATACTTACATATATATATACTGACATACATATATAACAGTAAAATAACAAGCTTTAATATTTTCCACATGTAATGTGTTTGAAATTAAGGTAGGTTTTAATGAAGTGAAGTGAGGAATGTACAATGTGGCAATATTTAGGATTTTTTCTTAGAAAAATTTTGCTTAAAAGCCCAAACTGTGATTTAACAGGTTAAAGTCCGGTCTTTAATGATGAAGTTGTTACCTTGAGCCTGAAGCAGACCAGTCCCAGAACCACCTCAGCACAAATCTCAAACCTCTTGTCGGCTCGAACCAGACTCTCAAACTCTTTGGCCAGGCCCACTTGCTGCACACAGAACCATGAACACTAATGTTATATACGTGTCAGAGTACATGTAAAATCATGCTCGGGGATGTTGTTTTGATTCTTGATTGTTAGATGTGGCTTAATGATGCAAAATACAACAAGGCTGGAGAAGGAAAATACTATTAAAAAAAAAAATGCACAAATTTATTTTAGAAGTTAAAAAGATTTAAACAGTATTTTAAAAAAAACAGCAAAACAGAAGGATGAACTCTGGATTTGTTGTTTTATTTGTTCGAAATGTAATTTTCACTTTCTGAAATAATACTAGTATTATTATTAAATTATAAATAAATATAATAATTATAAATTATTACTAGTACTAGTACTAGTAATAATTTGTTTGTTTGTTTGTTTGTGACTTTGCCGTTTCAGTTCATCTTTAAAAGACAACAGAAAAAATTTAAACAGCCAACTTCAAGTCTTACAGAACACAAACGCAACTATATTTAAAATGCAAGAATAAAAATCCTTTAAGTTGTTGACAGGACACCCAGGAAACAGCATCTTTCACTAAAGACTGTGATTTGTGCTGTTAACCACTAGAGGGCAGTGTTGTGTCAATATGTAGCTGAGTTCTGTCCCTGATCTACTTATTCATCCCAACCTAACCTCATCAAGAGGGGAGTAATGACTTACAATGAACTAAGTGTGATGATCACTAATATTGCTTCTAATAAATAATTATGGGATGTGTTGGTTCACATCGTTAGAGGAGGTAATTCCTGGGAAATATCACATTCTGCTTTGAGGAAATATTTATTAGGTTATTTTTTATTGCATAAATGCTTATTAAGCATTCACAGTGTTGTTTTCCTGTTTGTCTTTATTATTATTATCGTTCCCTATTCTGTATGTTTTTTTGGCAGTTGTTCTGCACATTTTGTGCTATTTCAAGAATTCATTTATCAAAACATTCAGCTCATGGACGACTTTCCTGCTGACTTTTGGTTCTTGTGCAATTATGCTTTTTGAAATATTTAGATTTTTCTGCCATTTTAGGTCTAAAATAAAATGAATGGAGCTCTGTTCAAATTATTAAAAACTGCTTTTGCTTGCAATTTCAGCATTTTATGCTTCTACTTCTGCTTAAGTCCTGATGCATGCTCAATAATCCAGCTAGATAAATCTAACAAGGTTAAGTCCTTCGTCCAGAGGACCTGACTGTTAGACTGCTGCTGATGATATTTCTGCCCTAGTTTTTACTAATATGCTGCCCTGCTGATGCTAATTAAGTAATCACAGTCATTTTACTTCAAATGGGGAGTAGACATGAAACAGACATGTTTGACTGACAGTCGGAGGGAGGAAGAGTAGAAGCAGAGCCAGGCGTTCAACCATGAAACGTTCAGAAGAAAAGACGGACGGGGAAAGGGCCAGGCATGAGAGAAAATCTTGTTACAGATGAGGACGTATCAGTCAAATGTTATACGACTCACAGGAGACATTTCAGTTGTGCTGACGAAGATAGAGTCAGGGAGAGGGTGGGTGTGTGGGGCGTATGTGTGTGTGTGAGTGTGTGTGTGTATGGGGGGGGGGGGGGGGACTTTACTGCTAAAGAAGATTAGAAGGGCTGAGAACACAGAAATGGAGATGGCATTTACCATAAAGGCATATAGGACTGTCAGAAGTGGGTTATTTTAGAGATGGAGAGAGAAACGACTGATAAAGGGAAGAGAAGAAACCAGATTGTTCAACAAGTGGTTCACAACGTCCCCCGTCGCTGAAGGATTTGAAAAGTGAATGTACTTTTTAAGATATATGTATATACACATATATATGTATACGTATATACACATATATGTATACACACACACACACACACACACACATATATATATATA